TGGGACAAAAGGAAAGGAATGGTTTTAGCCATCTGTGCGCCAGCATTTTGTCGATCAATGACTTTTTTCTCGTTGACCCTATTTCCGAATTTGTTCCATACCGAGTCACTGGGGATAGTCTCAGTGAAATGATGTTTGGGGGAAGGGACAGCCAAATGAAGTTGCGCTTTTCTGCCCGTCTTTTGGCATAAAGCTTGTTTCACGCTGTCCTCGAAATGGATCCAAGTTGGTCTTTGCAAAATTTGGCCTTGTCATAAATAAAAGTCACCCCAAAATCCCTCCCCTTTTTGAAGGGCCCGTGAATGGGCAGATTATCCGGTTGGTCCAGGGGGAGAGAGGAAGGGGCTTGCCTGTCTTACTTTGTAAACATCGTAGTTGAGAAGGAGGGCAGGCCCACCAAGAAAATGGGGCATACTCAAGGTTTGCGACTTGTACACATACAAAATCTTGCAACCCCTGCTTACAAGAATGCGAGATACGGGCAGGCTTAAGCTTCCTGTGCTTTGTTTGCAAGATTTACAAAGTGGTTTTTTATGGTTAGTTTGGAGTCAAATTTCACCCCCAAAAAAGGATATCATTCTTAGTGCCAATCCCTTTCCCCCTTCTCGTTTAACTGCACCCCCTTAATTTTAAGGGGCCTAGAGATCATCATCATTTGTGTTTTTCTCAGGTGCAAAGTTTTTGCCATCTATTTCCCCAAATGGTTTTTGCCTTGCTGATATTGAGTATCTTAGAGGCGACCCTTTTCTCTTGGATAATGAAATGTCAGTGTACTCGTCTGTATAGCTGGATTCTGGGTGAGATGAAAGTCATTGAGAGACTTCCATAACGCTTCCCTTTTGGAACACTTGCTCCTAGGAGTCTTGGATTCGTTCCCTTGAGAACTACCCCTTTGCGATCACCCTGAAGGTAATCACTGGGGAACATGGGAGAACCTGCAATTCCAGAGCTTTCGTTTTGCTAAGAGGCCCTTGTGCTACACCCGTCGAAGGCACCAGCATGTCCAGTGTACCACAACTGACTTTGGAATCATCCAGTGACGCCATATTGACGGTCCAAATGTGGTGGTATCAAAAAATGATTTTTCTTGAGTTATTTTCTCAAAGGGGGCTTGCCCGTGACTGACATTAGGGAAAAACCCGGTCTGTAGTTTTCGTTTTTTGCCTTTCTTTCTTTTCCAGAGAAAAAAACCATTTACCTGTGCTGGGATGGAAAATGCGAATTAGAGGTGCTGTAGCTGGTTGCACATATCAGCAATCTTGGGCTCAAAATTGTTGGGCCACATTTTTTTTTTGGGCAAGCGATTTAAGAAAGGGAAATTTCACCCTTTTCCCGCCTTTTGTCATAGTGCGTTTTGACCCCAGTTCTGCATACCAAAGAGGGTCCCCTTTTCTGGATCGGAACTCTTTTGGGAGCAAAGTGTTCGGGAAAAGGCCCCTTTTTCTTGATTTCTATAGAGGTGGTCCCTCCCGTGATTTTGACCGGGACCCCCAGGTTTTTTAGCCACCCCCACCTGATTCAGCTTTCTTTTGGTCCTCTCCATTTTGCAAAGACCCACTTTTTAATGTCACCCCCTTGCCTTTCGGGTTGCCTGTGCAAGTTCCTGTTGTAGGTGGTAGGATGTCTCTTATACTTTCGCCATGCCTTGTACTTAGCAGTAGCAGCCTCTCTACAACGAAAGCTAAACCAAGGCTGATTTGTAGGCTTCGTCACGTATTGCCGGTGAGGAATGTGTTCTTGTTGTAGATTAAGGATGTGTCCAGTGAAGGCTTTCACTTGGTTGTCAACATCCCCTTGCAGAAGAGCATTCCAATCGGTGGTGGCGAGCTCAGAGGAAAGGGCTGGCCAATTACCTTTTTCCAATAGCCAGGTTGTGCGTGTGGACTCCTCACCTCGTTCAGTTGGGATCTTAAGTGTCGTAAAAACAGCCTTGTGGTCAGATGACCCAACATAGCCGAGGGGTTGACAAGTGACTATACCTTCTGCTAGATCACTCACTACTGGGTCAAGGGAGGAACCAGAGATGTGAGTAGTAAAATCAACAAAGTTTCTCATATCAAATACTGCAAGAAGGCCATCAAAGTCCCTCTGTATAAGGTGATAGTTGAGGTCACCAACAATTATGACATGTTGACAGTTGTGTTGTAGCAGAAGGGAGTCCACATTTTCCATTAGGAAGTTGATGGGGTCTGAATGTTGCCACTTAGGTCTCTACATTGCACATGCTAGTACAGAGGTACTAGTGTTTATGCATAGCTTGAAAAACATCATTTCAAGATGAGTAGGGATGGCAACATCAATGTGCTGGGCATGTACACTTTTAGAGAAGCACACAGCACCACCTCCTCCTTGCCCTTGCCTGTCTCTTCTCATCCATGAGATGTAGCCAGCAATTTTTGCAAAATTTTCTGGAGTCCTGTCGTCCAAAAATGTTTCAACAACAGCTGTCATGTCGGGACATCAAGTGTTCACAAAACCGTGTGTGAGCTCTCCAACACTAATAATGAAGCCTCTAATGTTGGCCGGCAGGATGCTGATAGACTGGCTCCTCATGATGTGGTCAGCTTGAGGTGGTGGGTGTGTAAGGCATGTAAGGTGCCTGTCCTCGAGAGAGGTAGGGCACTGAGGCAGCTGCAGGGATGTAAGTCTGTGGTCTTGTATAAGGCACAGTACCACCTGCTGGGCTGAGATAAGAGTAGCTGAGTGGGTGACGTGTGAGTGTGTTCATCATCTCAGAAATCCTGCTGGTTTGTTCCAAGAACAGGTCTCTAAACAGGTGGTCCTGTCTGTCAAGTTCCTTTTTCTTCCGACACTGGTCCTCCTGATGTCTTTTCTTATGGCAGTAATTGCACCTGGTATCTCGCAGGCAGTTGATAGTGATGTGCCCCTTCCGGTGACAGCGAGAGCAATGCCTAGGTGCCTGGGAGGGTGGACTGTCTGTCTGTCTGTCTGTCTCTCTCTCTCTCTCTCTCTCTCTCTCTCTCTCTCTCTCTCTCTCTCTCTCTCTCTATAGTCACAAGAGTTAGGAAACACATGTCACTTCCTTCAACAAATACACTTAACAAGAACTATGGCTTAATCTGCATTACTCATGCTCATGAGGACATGACAAACACACACACACACACACACACACACACACACACACACACACACAAGGAGCAGGGAGAGAGAGGACCCAATAGCAACCAGTGAAGAGACGGGGCCAGGAGCTAAGAGTCGACCCCTGCAACCACAAATAGGTGAGCACAAACACACACACACAAACACACAAACACACACTACCTGTTTCCCAGGTATTTTATGATCCCTCTATGAGTTATAATATTCATGCTAATGACCTTAAAAATTAAATAATAATAATAATATAAATAGGTGTCAAATAGCTAGGATGAGGTAGTATGTGGTAAGTATTCAGTAGATAAATAGTTCTGAGAAAGACAAACTGGTAATTAAGACACTTTGGTACAACACTTGGGTAGGTTTATTGTGGAAGCTGCTTGTTGGTGACGTTTCCACAGTGAACACAGTCTAGTGTGACACAAGTGTTTCAGTCACGTAACTGACGTCTAGAGGAGCAACATTTGCTCAGTCCAAACTCCGGAGGGGACGACACTTGATTTGCACGTCAATTCCCCTGTTTTCTAATAATATGTTATTTTTCCTCTGTAATCTACCTCGTCCATAATTACTATCCCATTTGCTTTGTCTGCTTTCGTAAGGTGACGTCTAGGATCTCCTTAATTCATGGTGTAACTTATCAAATCTTTGAGGACAATTGTGTTGCTGAGACCTCTACAACACAATTGTCTTCAAAGATTTGTTAAGTTATACCATGAATTAAGGAAAGATCCTGGACTTCACCTTACGAAAGCAGACAAAGCAAATGGGATAGTAATTATGGACAAGGTAGATTACGGGGGAAAAATAAACGTGATATTAGGAGACAGGAAACTCACGCGCCTCTTAAGAAGCATGTCATAGGAATGATCGTCAAAACCTGTGGTTGGTATCTGAGATTTCCTCTCATATAACCAACGTCAACTGAGTAGTGGTAGGTGGGTGTTGGTTGGTTCCACAAAGTGTGTAGCAATGGGGCAGGTCCCCACCCATTGTTCACTGTAGTTCCAGGGACAGCTTCATATCCGTTCTGTTTACATTACCTTCCTTATATGATCAAACCTTCAAGAGGGTAAAGTGTGTCTCCGTGGTGCTCAAGGGTTCTTGATGCTGGTCAAGAGTTCTTGATGCTGCTCAAGGATTCTTGATGCTGGCCAAGGGTTGCTGACGCTCGCCAAGAGCTCTTAGTGGAAGGAGTTGCAGGTTCCCTTATACTTCGGATATATGGCATGTTTTACAATAGCTGAGTGATAGGAACGAAGTATTAGTTATATCCCATAACACCGAATCTCGTGCACTTTGAATTCACATAAGCGACCCATTAACTGTTCATCATTGTACTTAAAAGCTTCAAAAGCTGTTTTTAACGGATACAAACACACACAGTAGCCCAAAATGATGATGCTCATTTTTTTTTAATAAAATTAGCATATTGGCACCTACAAACTTATCGCTCATTGACATTATGATTATCCTCTAAGCAAAAATATTCCATCGCTGACAGTTTCAAGTAAATCAGACGAGGCCTTCTCCAGTTAAAACGTATTTTTATGTTATAAAATCTTCAAATTTTTTATCTACACACCTTAAGCTGAGTTTAGTGTTTGGGTTACCGAGAGAAGCATCACTGTTATGTCTGAAGCCCTTCAGCATGTCTTTTTTAATAAAATTAGTAATTTAGTAAGCACATCCTTGCCTTCCTCTAAGCATGATACAACAGTGGTGAAAGTTTGATGCCGATCACATGAATCATGAACACAAGGAAATATACAGTAGTGTGCATATTAACTGAGACACTGATGAAATAAAACATTTATTTGTAAAATTAATGTTTATTTGAAAAATATATGGCAATGATATGACAGATAATTGATTTAATAAGAGATATGACTACCCTTTGCTTTCATAAGCATTGCTACACGCTTTGGTATGGAATTGACTAATGTTGAACACATTGGTCGATTCCATACCGATTCTTCTCGTGGTACCAGGTCCTATTAACAGCAGCAATTTGCTTCTCCACAGCTGAACAGTCCTATTTCGCGATCCTTTGTTTGGTTATTGCCCATAGGTTCTCAACTGGGTTGAGGTCAGAGTTTCCAGGCCAATTTAGAACGTCAGCAATTTTCTGGAAGAGTGGCATAGAGCAAGATCCCGCTGGAAAATGCCTTCTCTATCAGGAAAGGGTCTATCCACAGTGGGAAGCAAATGAGTTACCAGGACTGCATTGTATTTGTCATTCTTCATCGTTCCCTCAACAATAACAAGCCGTCCAGGCCCTTTATCAGTAAAACTACCCCAAAATATCTTCTTAGGTAAGTATTTTGGCACTTGTTGAATATGTCCTTTCCGAAGAAGCTTGCCTTTGCTTCGTCTTATTACTACTGATCTGTACCCATGTACTTCAAAATGCGCCATATCTAAAAATATAACTTCTATCCATTCATCTGTCGTCCATCCCTTATGATCAAGTACCCGCCACAATCATTTAATCCTTCATAGCAGCAGTAAATAATTGCTTATTTACTGGCTTTCCAGCAGTTCTGCCAACTTCAAGGAGCCTTCCTCGAACAGTTGAAGAATCAACATTTACTCCAGCTTAAACCAAATCTCTCTGTATATCTTTGTCGGTTTTCTTGGGATCTTTCCCACTATTTCTTGTGATAATCTTGTCATCGTTAGGTGTTGTCTTGCGTTTCTTCCACATCTACCTCACGGCAGAACTCCAAAATCAGCAGTGTCATCAGCTCTCTTCAGAATCCGACCAACAGTTGACTCTGCTAGGCACAAATTTTCAGCGATCTGTCTAATACTGAAACCAGCATGTTTTCTAAGAGCTACAATATTTTCACGCTTCCTAGGCGTTACATCCATCATGAATTTCAGCAGTAATCATGAATTGAAGGGGAGAATTTGGCGAAACCACATTCACTCACAGAGCACGCTTGCAGGAATAGCCTTACAGAACAACAGCTGTTGTAGCACTGATGAGAATCTCAGGATAACACCACAACTGGATGGTTGCCAGAAGTCGGTAGCACACTCTTCTGAAAAGAAAAGAGAGAACCCAAACTACAATAATTATGCCGGAGACTAAAACATATGAGATAATCACAAAATTTACTCCTGTTCCAATTAATTTACACACTTCTGTGTACCGAGAGGTGTATGTCTCTCGGTGAATAGATACCGAGATTATATTAAAACATTCTTTGCCGATGGTATAAAAAATGATATGCAGTCCTAATGATCTTCGTGCATCGGAAGGTTTTAAAGTGAGTTAACCAGCAAACCAAAGGACCTATCACATGACCTATGGTACCAACTATATTTGCAAGGATTAAAGAAGATTTAAAAAGATATATCTATTTATAGTAGTATTTATTGATTCTTCACATTTAAATTGGCATGTGGATATACTGTATATTAAATGAGCGAGACGAGAGATAGAGGTAGCAAGCAGAGTTGAGTGTCAGGTGTGTGACGAACCTGGCCTCCACACCTGTCTTTACTGTGATGGCGTTCATCACCAGTTTTCTGTTATATATAATGTTGATTCTCATGTTTATCTGACCATTTTAACCTCTCTCTCTCTCTCTCTCTCTCTCTCTCTCTCTCTCTCTCTCTCTCTCTCTCTCTCTCTCTCTCTCTCTCTCTCTATCTATCTATCTATCTATCTAGCTATCTATCTATTTCTCTGTATGAATGTATTTGTCTCAACTCTCGTCCCGCATCATTAAATGCTGAGTCAAGATCTTAGACTCGACCCTATGAAACACACACACACACACACACACACACACACACACACACACACACACACACACACACACACACACACACACACACACACACAAAGAGGCCAGGAGCTATGAATCGACCCCTGCAACCACAATTAGGTGAGTACACACACACACACAGGTTAAGGGAAATCGGCCTGACGACACTGGAGGACAGGAGGGTCAGGGAAGACATGATAACGACATGCGAAATACTGTGTGGAATAGACAAGGTGGACAGAGACAGGATGTTCCGAAGAGGGGACACACAAATAAGGGGTCACTATTAGAAGTTGAAGACCCAGATGAGTCAAAGAGATGTTAGGAAGCATTTCTTCGGTCATAGAGTAGTCAGGAAGTGGAATAGCCTAGCACGTGAGGTAGTGGAGGCAGGAACCATACATAGCTTTAAGATGAGGTATGATAAAGCTCATGGAGCAGGAAGAGAGAGGACCTAGTAGCACTCGGTGAAGAGGCGGGGCCAGGAGCTGAGTCTCGACCCCTGCAACCACAATTAGGTGAATACAATTAGGTGAGTACACACACACACACCTTGAGTAGTTCGGACATCGAGGATACCATGTATGAAAGGCCCCTTGGAGCTAGTGATCATGTGGTTCTGTGCTTTGACTACATAATTGAGCTACAAGTGGAGCGAGTAGCAGGAATAGGATGGGAAAAACCAAACTACAAAAGGGGGATCTACACAGGCATGAGGAACTTCCTGCAAGACGTTCAGTGGGAGAGAGAACTGGCAGGAAAACCAGTAAAAGAAATGATGGACTATGTGACAACAAAATGCAAGGAGGCAGAGGAGAGGTTTGTTCTCAAGGGATACAGAAATAATGGGAAGATCAGAACGAGTCCTTGGTTCACCAAAGGTGTAGGAAGGCAAAAACTAGGTGTACTAGAGAATGGAAAAGGTACAGAAGAAAAAGGACCAAGGAAAATAAAGAGATCAGCTGAAAAGCCAGAAACTAATATACAGAGATAAGAAGGGAGGCTCAGCGACAATAAGAAAATGACAGAGCATCGAAAGTCAAGTCTGACCCGAAGCTGTTGTATAGCCACATCAGTAGGAAAACAGCAATCAAGGACCAGGTAATCAGACTGAGGAAGGATGATGGGGAGTTCACAAGAAACGACCAAGAGGTATGTGAGGAGCTCAACATGAGATTTAAAGAAGCATTTACAGTGGAAACAGGTAAGACTCCAGGAAATCAGAACAGGGAAGTACACGAACAAGTGCTGGATGAGGAACACATAACCGAGGAGGAGGTGAAGAAGCTGCTATGTGAACTTGATATCTCAAAGGCGGTGGGACTGGACAACATCTCTCCATGGGTCCTTAAAGAGGGAGCAGAGATGCTCTGTGTGCCACTAATAAAAATCTTCAACACATCCTTTAAATCTGGGCAACTACCTGAGGTATGGAAGATGGCATATGTAGTCCCAGTTTTTAAAAAAGAGACAGACACGAGGCATTAAACTACAGACCTATGTCATTAACGTGTATAGTATGCAAAGTCATGGAGAAAATCATCAGGAGGAGAGTGGTGGAGCACCTGGAAAGAAACAAGCGTGTAATCGACAACCAGCACAGTTTCAGGGAAGGAAAATCCTGTGTCACAAACCTACTGGAGTTTTATGACAAGGTAACAGAAGTAAGACAAGAGAGAGAGGGGTAGACAGACTGCATTTTTTTGGACTGAAAGAAGGCCTTCGACACAGTTCCTCACAAGAGGTTAGTGCAACAGCTAGAGGATCAGGCACACATTACAGGAAAGGCACTGCAATGGATCAGAGACTACCTGACAGAGACGCAACAACGAGTCATGATACGTGACGAGGCGTCAAAGTGGGCGCCTGTGACAAGCGGGGTTCCACAAGGGTCAGTCCTAGGACCTGTGCTGTTTTTGGTATATGTGAATGACATAACGGAAGGGTTAGACTCAGAAGTGTCCTTGTTTGCAGATGATGTGAAGTTAATGATGAGAATCAAATCAGTCGAGGATCAGGCAGGACTACAAAGAGACCTGGACAGGCTACAAGCCTGGTCCAGCAACTGGCTCCTTGAATTTAACCCTGTCAAATACAAAGTCATGAAGATCGGGAAAGGGCAAAAAAAGACCTCAGACATAGTATAGTCTAGGTGGCCAAAGACTGCAAACCTCACTCAAGGAAAAAGATCTTGGGGCGAGTATAATACCGAGCACATCTCCTGAGGCGAACATCAAACAGTTAATTACTGTAGCATACGGGCGTCTGGCAAACCTAAGGATAGCGTTCCGATACCTCAGTAAGGAATAGTTCAAGACTCTGTACACCATATACGTCAGGCCCATACTGGAGTATGCAGCACCAGTTTGGTATCCACACCTGGTCAAGCAAGTCAAGAAATTAGAAGTGCAAAGGGTTGCAACAAGACACTGGAGGACAGGAGGGTCAGGGGAGACATGATAACGACATATAAAATACTGCGCGGAACAGACAAGGTGGACAAAGACAGGATGTTCCAGAGAGGGGACACAGAAACAAGGGTTTACAATTGGAAGTTGAAGACTCAGATGAGTCAAAGGGATGTTAGGAAGTATTTCTTCAGTCATAAAGTAGGCAGGCCGTGGAATAGCCTAGAAAGTGACGTAGTGGAGGCGGGAACCATACATTGTTTTAAGACTAAGTTTGATAAAGCAACAGTCAGTGAAGAGGTGGGACCAGGAGCTATGAATCGACCCCTGCAACCACAAATAGGTGAGTGCACACACACACACACACACACACAAACACACACGCACACACGCGCGCGCACTATACGTCAATTCGTGCAAATTTCCCCAACATTAGCTGGAGACGTGAGGATCAGCTGTTGTGCGCACACCAACACAAGCAACCCAGTCAGCAGACAGGTTATGTTAATGAACCAGCCAGCAGCCCTCAGAGCCAGCTTAATAAATCACATACCTAAGTTTTATCAGCAATTTTGAGAAATGTCACTCATATTCTCAGAGAAGGAAGAAGGGGATGGGGAGAGGACTAAGGGATGATTACAACATGCATGACAGTGATACAAAGTAAGAAGGAAATTGCCGAATTTCTGTTCGTTGAAAATGATAATGATTCTGAGGAAGACCTAGGCACGGGCATAGACCAGAAAGTTAATGCCTGGCCCGTCCATACACCACCGTCTGTAAGACGCCTCTTTATCATTTCTAGGAAAATTATACCTTATTTGAAACGAATGCGGAGTCCGGAAGCGAACTGGGAACACAGGTGACGCTGAAGTGTTGGCAAGATGTCGCTTTTCATCTGAAATAAAATGAAATTCTTCCTAAGTTGCGATATCTGCTTAATTTTAAGGCTGTCAGTATGGTGTATCAGTCGAAAGTTGTGTATCCTTCAGTGTATATACACCGATAGGTGTGTATCCCTCAGTGTATATACACCGATAGGTGTGTATCCCTCAGTGTATATACACCGATAGGTGTGTATCCCTCAGTGTATATACACCGATAGGTGTGTATCCTTCAGTGTATATACACCAGATAGGTGTGTATCCCTCAGTGTATATACACCGATAGGTGTGTATCCCTCAGTGTATATACACCGATAGGTGTGTATCCCTCAGTGTATATACACCGATAGGTGTGTATCCCTCAGTGTATATACACCGATAGGTGTGTATCCCTCAGTGTATATACACCGATAGGTGTGTATCCCCCAATGTATATACACCGATAGGTGTGTATCCTTCAGTGTATATACACAGATAGGTGTGTATCCCTCAGTGTATATACACCGATAGGTGTGTATCCCTCAGTGTATATACACCAATAGGTGTGTATCCCTCAGTGTATATACACCGATAGGTGTGTATCCTTCAGTGTATATACACCGATAGGTGTGTATCCCTCAGTGTATATACACCGATGAGTGTATTCCTCAGTGTATATTCACCGATAGGTGTGTATCCCTCAGTGTATATTCACCGATAGATGTGTATCCCTCAATGTATATACACCGATAGGTGTGTATCCTTCGGTGTATATACACCGATAGGTGTGTATCCTTCAGTGTATATACACCGATAGGTGTGTATTCCTCAGTGTATATACTCCGATGAGTGTATCCCTCAGTGTATATTCACCGATAGGTGTGTATCCCTCAGTGTATATACACCGATAGGTGTGTATCCCTCAGTGTATATACACCGATGAGTATATCCCTCAGTGTATATTCACCGATAGGTGTGTATCCTTCAGTGTATATACACCGATAGGTGTGTATCCCTCAGTGTATATACACCGATGAGTATATCCCTCAGTGTATATTCACCGATAGGTGTGTATCCCTCAGTGTATATACACCGATGAGTATATCCCTCAGTGTATATTCACCGATAGGTGTGTATCCCTCAGTGTATGTACACCGATAGGTGTGTATCCCCCAGTGTATATACACCGATAGGTGTGTATCCCTCAGTGTATATTCACCGATAGGTGTGTATCCTTCAGTGTATATACACCGTTAGGTATGTATCCCTCAGTGTATATACACCTATAGGTGTGTATCCTTCAGTGTATATACACTGATAGGTGTGTATCCCTCAGTGTATATACACCGATAGGTGTGTATCCTTCAGTGTATATACACTGATAGGTGTGTATCCCTCAGTGTATATACACCGATAGGTGTGTATCCCTCAGTGTATATACACCGATAGGTGTGTATCCCCCAGTTTATATACACCGATAGGTGTGTATCCCTCAGTGTATATTCACCGATAGGTGTGTATCCCTCAGTTTATATTCACCGATAGGTGTGTATCCTTCAGCGATATTGGTCCTCAGATGAGGTGTGTATCCCTCATTGTATATACACCGATAGGTGTGTATCCCCCAGCGTATATACACCGATAGGTGTGTATCCCTCAGTGCAAATACACGGATATGAGTGTATTTCTATGTATATTTACCGAGAGGTGTATATCCCTCATACACACCGACATGTTTCTCTCAGCGTAAATACACCGTCAGATGTACATATCGTAGTCTCTATATACACAGAGGTGCGTACCTTTGAATGTATATACTCTGAGAGTGCTTTATTCTTTATTATAGATGATTACTATGACCTTGATTCCCAACTGACGCCCCTGCTGACACCCCTGCGTGTCCTCCTGCCCGCACCCCTCCTGACACTCCTGCGTGTCCTGCCTGCACCCCTGCTGACACCCCTGCGTGTCCTCCTGCCCGCACCCCTCCTGACACTCCTGCGTGTCCTGCCTGCACCCCTGCTGACACCCCTGCGTGTCTTCCTGCCCGCACCCCTCCTGACACTCCTGCGTGTCCTGCCTGCACCCCTGCTGACACCCCTGCGTGTCTTCCTGCCCGCACCCCTCCTGACACTCCTGCGTGTCCTGCCTGCACCCCTGCTGACACCCCTGAGTGTCCTCCTGCCCGTACCCCTGCTGACACCCCTGCGTGTCCTCCTGCCCGCACCCCTGCTGACACTCCTGCGTGTCCTGCCTGCACCCCTGCTGACGCTCCTGCGCGTCCTCCTGCCCGCACCCCTGCTGACACCCCTGCGCGTCCTCCTGCCCGCACCCCTGCTGACACCCCTGCGCGTCCTCCTGCCCGCACCCCTGTTGACGCTAGTCATCGGTAGATGGTCCAACTATGCAACCCCTCGGGACTGGACAATACAATGCATGACAGCCTGGAAATGAATACTGCGTTCCAGCACTGTGCCTGAGTAGCCTGTCGTACATTGTGAGCATCTCTTCTGTCTGTCTGCCCCTCCCTCTCCTCCTCTTCTTTCTCTGCTCTCTCCTCTCTCCTCTCTCTGGTCTCTCTCCTCTCCTACTCTCTCTCTCTCCTCTTCTCTCTCTCCTCTCTCTCTCTACACTCTCTCGTCTCTCTCCACTCCTTTCTCTCTCTGCCCGTCTCTGCCAATTTCATTGTCAAGTGACCTTTAGGGTCTCTGTGACCCGCAACCCATTGCATCTGATCCATAGCATTCGGATGAAGGTATTTGTTATTCTTGCGGGCTTTAGACACCTGAATTTGCATAAGATGAATGTTGATCGGATTGGTGGTATGTGTGAGATGGGGGTTATCTTTTTCTGGCACTAATACTCTTTTTGTTGGAGTGGACCATTGACTGTTGATTTCCTACTCCAAACGATTCGATTGGTGTCATCTTCTGTCATTTCCGCCAGCTTTTTTTCCATCCTGCCTGAAAACCTCTCTCTCTAATACTTGCTACCAGATGTCCCCATGGTCTGATGTTCTGTGTCTTCTTGTCCCATTTCAGTGTTGTGCCTGAATATAATTATAGCATTGTCTTCCTGAACGATGATGAACATTGCAGGTGAAAAGATTACAGGAATGAGGTTGATTTTTCCTTTGCCTATGGGCACAGCATTTTGGGGTGGTCAATTGCACGTCATTGTTTCCAGATATTCTGCCTGCGATACCAGTGCATGTATTTGCATGACTGGTTTCTGTTTCCTTTTTTTTTGTGACTGTAATCCTACTGGTGCGTTTTTGGTACCCATTTCTTATCCCTGCACTAATCTATCAATGGAGCCTTTTCTGTTATTTCTGGTAATTTATCTTCACTCTTTCTCGGCATCCCTTTGTTAAACTCTCCTCTGTATTGCTAGTTGAACATTGTTTTTGTCCTGTCCTGTCCACACTGAGTCCTGTCCCTCAGGCCACCTCTTGTATTTCTTTTTCTGTACATTTGTGTTACGGACGGCATTATGTACCAGGGGACAGTATCATCTGGCCCAGAATTTTATATACCTCAGTGTGATAAAGATGTCATGTTTTTATGAGCCGTTTGATTTTCTCATTTATTATCAATGGGATTATCCACAGTTCGTCTCTGTGGTCATACAAAAAACACTGTCCCGACTATATATTTCAGACGATACTGATACTGCACAAGGCTGGCTCCATTCACCACAGAATTGCATGTAATCTATGCCGATAGTCCGTCGTTTCTGTTTGGTTCAGAATCACAGATTTCTGATGTGTTTTTTGTTGTTACTGTATATTCTACAATGTCTTCTTAAGTGCGGATCTGTCCATTTGTTGAAACATTTTATTTAATCCAACTAATCGTTGAATCCGGTCCTTTGTTCACTTTTTCTTGGACGAATCCAGGCGAATCCGCATAATTTGACATCTTCCTCTCTCTTCTCTCTCCTCTCTCTGTTCTATTCTCTCTCTCTCTCTTCTGTCCTCTCTCTCTTCTCCACCTGCTCCTTCCCTTCTCACCACCAATCATTTTATTTTTTTCGTTACAGTTATTGTATTACTAGGACGGCATTATGTGTCCTTGGGCAAGTATTCCAGGCAGAATTTTTTTATCCCAACTGTTATAGAATGCTGTCATGTTTTTTTATGAAGGCCGTTTTGATGTTATCATCATTTATTATCAATGTGATTTTATTCCACAGTTCGGTCTCATTTGGTCATACACAAAAACACTTCCCTGACTTAATATATCTTGTAGACGATACCTGATACCTGCACAAGGGGCGTGGCTCCATTCACCACAGAAATTGCATGTAATCTATGCCGAAGTCCGTTCGTTTGTTTGGTTGCAGAATACACAGGATTTCATGATGTGATTTTATTGGTTGTTTTACTGTATATTCTACTAATGTCTTTCTTAAAGTGGGGATCTGTCCATTTGTGTTGAAACTATTTTATTTAATCCAACGAATCCGTTTGAATCCGGTCCTTTGTTCACTTTTTTCTTGGACGAATCCAGGCGAATCCAGACGATAATTTTGACAATCTTCCTCTCTCTCTCTCTCTCTCTCTCTCTCTCTCTCTCTCTCTCTCTCTCTCCTCTCTCTCTCTCTCTCTCTCTCTCTCTCTCCCTCTGCTCTTTTTTCACACACACGACATCTGATTTTCCGCTATTTTTTCGTTCACTGTTGACTTGACATATTACTGAACGGCTGAATGAGTCATAATTTGTCCTTGAGAAGTGTTCCAGGCAGAACAACAGTGTGTTTCATGCAAACATTCATCATGGCACAACTATTGCAACAAACACTTGTTGCCCAACACAATAGCTGCTTGGTGGTTCCTGTTGTATAAAGTTTGTTAGCATTTTCGATTACATGAAAGTTAACGAGGCAGCAATCTGTTATTTTATATCTTTTCACTACTTGTAGACTTTATAATAATAATAATAATAATAATAATAATAATAATAATAATAATAATAATAATAATAATAATAATAATATCTCTATTTACTAAAAGTACATGTACATATTTGATTTC